GTTTAAATTAAAGCATCTTCAAAAGCGAATTCTGTAACTAAATCTATCCACTACTGATCCGTGATAAACTTGCCGATATTGAAAATCAATCGGTAATTCCATTTATCAATAGTCAACTATGACTTTAACTCAACAAAAGTCAACAGACTATGACCTTTCCATACATACCATGCACCTCATCTTTATATAAATGTTTGGTCTCACCATCTTGTCTTTGACACACCCTGCTTCTTTAAGACAAGTTAATAACAATCCGACTTCTTTGTCTAACTTCAAAAGAATATGAAATCTTTCCATTCTCTACATAAGTCATCAATTTCCTTGCAACAGCTAATTGTTGCAAATTGTGACTAATAAAAATAATTCCATATTATTTATGAAAATGAAAAGACTTAGTTTCCTCATTCTTGTGCAACACCGGCAAATTCCTCCTAATGACACACCCTCTTGAATAAATTCTTGATTAAGAATTTACTGATGAATATTTATTTAGTCTTCTATCCTCACTCGGTGTCATTCCAATTAGTACTTAATCCAGTACTAAATCCTCCTTCCGACTTGGTAACAACTTCTGAAATTTTCAAAAAGATGTTCAGCAAATCCAGCACCTTTGATATATCATCATGGCGTTACAGTGATCTTTATTTACCACTACCTCATGCATACCGAAACATTAACAATCACCAATATCATGGCGTTGTAATATGATATGAATCCATACCTAACGTAAAGTATATCAAACTAATCGTTCTAGATTGTTTGACTCGTAGTGATTGTTTAATTATCCCATCCCAAAACACACCATAATGACACATGTCCAGGTCCAATAGATTGGCTAGATTTATGTGTATCTACCAAATCCTACGACCGTATGCTCACAAATCTAGCGTAAATAGCGCTATTACACCATGTTATTAAAACAATAATTGGCTGATCACACACTTATGTCCCCAACTAAACCACATACGAAATCCCGAGTAATTAACAAAAAAAAAAAAAAAAAAACATGTATGATAAACACAATAAAACAAAATATATTCCTACTTAGGATATCGTTCTTTCTAGAAAAGAAAGTCTCCTTTGAAATCAATAAATAATCATCCAACCTCAAAACATATTCTTTAAAACATAGCTTAAAAATATAAATGTTTGCCTACGCAAATACCAAGGGCTCAACCCTCATCCTTCTTATATGCGGAATGTAAACTGTCTAACTTGGCTTTTTAAAGCGAATTAGAACGTCACAACATAATACCAATGCCCTCTTGTATATGATTTAAAAATTATGTATTTCATTCTGATAAGAACACATCCGATCCCCAAACTCCTGAACAATACTTCTTATATACCTCTTTTAGAGATGATAAGAAAGCTTAATTATTTGTAGATTGATCAACCCCAATTCTACTAATAACATTCGCTATACTACTAACAATTCAGATCACCTTGCAAGATCACTATCTTCAAGATTTAGTACCCTCTCTATTGGATGCACATAAATCTCCTCCATTAAGATCCTCTTCGGCTCCTACTACTCGCTTGTCTCCTTTTTGAGATCAACTGAAGTTATGTTGGCCCTGATATGCGGTGACCTATCACGTACACCTAAATCCTTCCTTGACTTATACTTTTAAAGTAACGCCAAACGAACCTAAACCATCGATTCCTAACACTGCCTTTTGGCAACGAAATCGATAACGTACTCCTTTACTCCTTTGGGTCTTTATCGCTTTCGCTTTGAACCCATCCTTTTCTTAGTGCTAACCATTCTATAACTACAGAATATAATTGACATTTGCTCCTCCTAACAAACCGTAAATAGAGTACAACAAATCCTAATACGGGTTCTAAGTTTTAAGAGACGCAACGCGGAAGTCACATGACGAAAGACATTCCTAAGGACACTTGAACCTAGAGTGCTCTGATACCAACTGTGATACCCCCGGATTTTCGAATGCGGGTTGGCTAGGCCCATGCCCAAATACTCGGGGATATCAAAACAAATCGATAATAAACGAACACAGAGTACAAAAGAATAAAGAAAAATAAATAAAATGCTGATAATAAACTAAAATGATAATCTAATAATAAATCTCAGAATATATTACCATTAATTAATAAACTCTTCTGATACAATTGATCCTCTAAAATACAACTCGGGAATCCATACTGTGTGGACCCCTAGAAAATCCAAACTAAACAAATGACAGCAATAACTGTCTAAATCAAGAAACTGAATCATAAAGGAACTCCTATGCAGCATCGGAAGAATGAAGTAGACTGATCCCCGCTCAGCACGAGCAACCTCTACTCCTGACGAACACCTGAAAAATAATGGTGAGTCAGACACACAAACAAGTTCTACTCTACTACAGTCCAAGTAGAGATCCGATACACGTATACATCCTAGTCAATCCAACAGTAACTAGTAGTCCGTATATATATATATACACACTAAAGGAACCTCACTAGACTATAGGGTTGTCTCAACCTGAATAGTAGGCAACATGCAAAACGCACATATAGTGGGCATGAGTACCTAGACCTACCAGGGTACACAGCTACACTATATCTAGCTACACATCCCTGGCGATATATGCACCCTAACCACTGATCCTGAGACTCAAACTCATATCATGGCATCATACTTATATATATAAAATCTAGTGACCATCCTATTCAGTATAAATTAATCCTCCATAAGTCATTCAACTTGTTCAGCTGACCTGACTTGAATATAAGTAGGACTTAACATTTTAGTTAATCCATTCCCTTATATAATAAATTAATCCTCCATAAGTCATTCAACTTGTTCAGCTGACCTGACTTGAATATAAGTATGACTTAACATTTTAGTTAATCCATTCCCTTATATAAAATAGGTAGGACTTAACTGATAAGTTAATCCGTTCCTAGAATGCCACCGTCCCATACTGGTGCATTAAACCACACAATCCAACAATTAATGTAACCATTAAGGAAATACATCAAACAATCCAGAAATAACTATGATAATATGATATCAAGTTATCACAAAATAAGAATGACTTATTATTTATTTAAGTTTCCTATATCATATGTCTTACATAAACTGATTCTTATACATATGATGATATTTTATTATACCGTCAAATAAGCATTCTCTATATCCAATTCATCCTACACATTTAATCTCAATTGTTAAAAAATATTAAAAGATTAAATTCATTCGTTTGTTTAAAACATTCAAATAGCAAGTATCATTATGATTGAGTCTATTTAAATTTATTTAAACCCAAACCTAGTTCCTATTTAATGTTCAGGAATCCTAGGCATGTTTCTGCATTCCATCATTCCACAGATATGAAAAATACATAATGTAAACATATAAAAATTCACACCGGAAATCAAATCAAAATCATGCATTTATTAATTCATAACACAAGAACAGATATGACCAATTTTATAAAACATGTGTTCTAATCCAATTAAACATGCATAATTATTTAATTTTATGTGTTTAATAAATCCCGAAATTTCTTAGGCATGCATAGAAACACAAATCAAAGGGAAAGAGATAAAAGAAGAACTTACCTTAAACTTTTGAATCGAAAATTAAACTTCTTCTTCCTTAATCTTATCTCTACATGATTTTTTCGAAAGTTAAACTTCTTCTTCCTTGATCTTCTCTCTACAGGGTTTTTTTTTCCTCCTTCCCTCTCTAACTCTCTTTCTCTCTCTCTAGAATATATCACGTGAATATTTCTAACACCCTTTTACAACCTATAGCTATCTTTTTATAGGCTAAATAAAATAACCCTAACCCTTTTCCCAATCCAAGTCAACTTAAAAAAAAATAAATATTAAAATATTAAAAAGGTAAGTAAAATATGTAACGTATATAATTTATGTATATGTTTATTAAATAAATAAATTATACACATCCCATTATTTATTAATGGATTATCCAATAATATTTAAGTTACCATAATATTTTAAAGTAACTTAAAATATAACACGTATCAAATCTATGTATATTTTTATTATTTAAATATAAAACATATACATCAGATTAAATATTACTACCCAAGTTACCATAAAAGTAATTAATTAATTACTTTTCCTTTTATATATATTAAAAAGGTAAGTAAAATATGTTACGTATATAATTTATGTATATGTTTATTAATTAAATAAATTATACACATTCTATTATATATTAATGGATTATCCAATAATACTTAAGTTACCATAATATTATAAAGTAACTTAAAACATAACACGTATCAAATCTATGTATATTTTTATTATTTAAATATAAAACATATACATTAGATTAAATATTACTACCTAAGTTACCATAAAAGTAATTAATAAATTACTTTCCTTTTTATATATGTATATAATATATATCTATATATATACATATACAATTATTCATAGGTAATAATCGATACACATCCAACTTCCTATCCAAGTAATCCATAGGACCCAATTGGTTGGCCCATTACTACTAACCATAACCATAAAAGAAAAATAAAATAAAATAATAAAAGAAAAGAAAACATTTAATTTACAATTAATCAAAACACCATTTAAGCACATAATCTAATTAAACAATTAACACATAGACAAATACAAATAATACCTAGACACATAATCAAATAATCAAGTAATACCTAATTCAATTAAACACATAAGCAATTAGTCAAATAATCAATTAAATAATTAAAAATACAATTAAAACAAGTAAATAAATACTGAGACTATCCTTTTAAAATTAAGGGTATTACAGGCCCCCCCAAACTTGGGATTAACTGTGGTCTTGAAATTTGGCACTCGGATAAACTCATCAGATAACAAAAAGGGATAATCAGTGCACAGTGGACATGCAAGTGTAAATGAAATAAAACAGTGAGAGGGGTATAAGGGTGGTCCTGAAAATCGGGTAGCACTCTCTCACTGAAGTTACTGTGATGCACCTGATGAAGTCAAATATACAGATATGAGAATATAATATATGACAACCATAATAAAAAGCATGCATAAATAGAAAATAAAGTACTGGAACATCAAAAGATCTAAGCCGACAGACCGGCTGTAAAAATAATAGTACTATACAGTGACAAAAGTAAAGTATCAATAGTAGAGAAGGATCATGAAAAGATAGAAGAAACTGGAATCTCAGGAAGATGAGGCAGGACGGGCAGGTCGGGCTCCGCGGATATCTTTGGATAGATCTCGGAACATAGTCGCGACATCCGTACGAAAGGTAGCAAAATCAGCTCTGTGGGCCGTAAGATCAGCTCGTATAGCAACAACAGCATACTCAAGAGTCTGCAGGCGTACTCTAAAGCCGGGGGTCTGATCTAGAGCCTCAGGTATAGAAGAGTCAGAAGAATGAAAATCCTGAGTCTGCTCCTGCTCGTGAATGGGCGACCCAGCTGGAGAATGCTGCTCTGTGTCATCTGCAGGTCGCTCCAAATCAATATCTATATGCTCGGCAGCTGGATCGACTGGTACATCGTCCGCTGCGGGATCTGCTGCTGCCGCCTCAGCTGCTGCCTCTGCCTCCTCAGTCTCTAGCTCCTCTGCAGCCACTACTGCGTGGTGCTGTAGTCTAGTAATGATGGCATTGTAGCTCTTGTCCCAGTCTTTATTCAAGAAGTGACAGGAACCTCTCTCAGGGTGCTCCCGAGGATGAATAGGGTAGCGCTGGTTAATCAGAATCTGGGTGATGAGGTGGCCAAAGGGGAGAGACTTAGCCCGTCCGGGCTTCTCCTTGCTGATATACTCGTCAAATAGCTTCCTCATCACGCTCCAAATGAGCGCGGGAATAGATACGCAGTGGCCTGTGTAGAATGCGTAGAGGGCTGTCAAATAGTCTCCTCTCCGCTGGATCTTGTGCCCGGCCATATATATATTCCGAAAAAGAACGGAATCGAAGAACCATAGGTCATCTGGAAGGAATGTGCGGGTGGCGAAAGTCTCGCCATCGGCATAGTGACCTGTAAGAAATACTGCCATGTCGGTATAAGAGGGCCTGTATAGCCTCAGATATAGCTCCTGTAGCTCTGGAGGGCATCTGTGTGGACAATGGCAAGAGCGGGCTAGCGAGTCCACAGTGATAGTGATCTGATGGCCATCTATAGTAGTGATCAGCTCTGCTGTGGTACGCGGGGATGGTCGAAGGTTCTGGAAGAACAATCGTACTAACTGCGGGTAGACTGGCTCTGTAACTGGGGCAAGAATAGCTGCAAGGCCCCTCTGAATAACGTCGTGGTAAGCTGATCGGGTCAGCACCGATCTGGAGAAAAAGTCTGTGTCGAACACCGACTCATGGTCTACTGCCATATGTGCATATCTAGGCGCGGGCCTATCACGCTCCTGAGCTGGCTTAGCTGGCTGGCATGGTGGAGATGGTACTAGTGAATGCTCAGCTCTAGCATGTGGTGGAGATGGTGATGGTGTAAATGCAGGCTGAGCTATAGAGGTGGATGGAATATGAGCATCCTCAGCCTCATGAGCAGGTGACTAAGGTGGAGTAAGCTGTACTGGCTCCTCCTGTGCATGAGAAGGCTCTGTTGGCTCCTCTATCCGTGGTCTGATATGTCTCTGAGGCCCGTGTTGCCTTTTGGCAACAGTCTTGCGCTTAGTCATAGCCTGAAATTTAAAAACTTGCAAGGGGAGTCAGTGCCAGAATTAAGAATTAAAAGCACAAACTAGAAAGATGCATGTCAAATAACATAGACAAAACATATATGACATGTATTTATGCAAGTGACAAGATATGAAACATGCTAAACAATGTAAGTATGAAATGTATCCAATGTGGAATATCACAGGCATTGAGCATATATGAGATAGTATGAACATAAGGCATGATGAATGAAGTGTGTGTATGAGATATGTAAAGTTCGATCGATCATAAAAAGGTTTGAGATCGATCTCAAAACTTCGATCGATCTAAGATATGAGTTCGATTGATCTCTCAAGATCAATCTGAGATTGAAGTTCGATCGATCGAACTGTGCGAAGGTGAAAACTCAAAGGTCACAGATCTGTGACTTTGGAAGCATAGGGGCCACACAAATAAGGTCGTGGGCCCACCAACACAACAAATCATCAATTACCATCACCCAAACAAGGCCAATACTCCCAAAATCGAATCTAAATAAACAAATATATATAAAAAGCATATACACATATATACATATATAAACTCAGTGTCTCGAAGCTCATCAATGGCAAATTTATTATGAAAATGGCATGGATTGAACATGTAAAGCATCTATGTATAAAATCTAAGCTTAAAAACCTAAATGAAGCCTCGGATCTTACCTCAACTGAAGAGAGAAGTGGAGATGAAGAGGGAGTGAGATTCGGGGTGAGCTTGAAGTCGCCGGAGGTGTCACCGGAAATGAGGAAGATGGAGAGTGCACAGTGGCGATGACAAAAGAGAGAAGGGGGGTTAGAGTTTGAGAAAGTTGGATCGATCTCTGTAATCGATCTCACAACTCTCGATTTCTATTTTAAAAAATATACCCGATAGAGTTCGATCGATCGAACCTCAACTGAGATCGATCAAACTTTGTCTTTTCTCTTTCCTTTTTTTAATTGAATAAACAATAATAATTAAAAACTAAATAAACTAAAATATTTTTGTATTTTTGAAAACTTTTTGAAAAATAAAATAAAATAAAATAAAAATGAAAATATTTTTGGATTTTTGAAATTTGAAAAGTCAAAATAAAGTCAAAATAATGAAATGAAGAACTGAGATCGATCAGAATAAGAGTTCGATCGATCAGACAGAGAGTAAGAATATGCAGGTTTACGGCTCAGAAAATTGGCTAAGTGTTGGAACTTGAGATTGATCGAACTTGAATATTCGATCGATCGAAGAACTTCAGATCGATCTTGAAATGTTTTCGATCGATGAGTTATAGAGCTGAAATATGTAGGTTGATGCAGGCTCAAAATTTTCTAAGTGTTGGATTATGAGATTGATCAAACTTTAATGTTGAATCGATCGAAGGTCTCCTGATTGATCTAAAAATAAGTTTGAACGATGGGACAGAGAAATGATTTGGATGCAGGTGGATGTATGTCGAAATTTTTTCTAAGTGTTGGATGCAGGTGGGAGTTCGATCGATCGAACTCTTATTTGAGATCGATCGAACTTATGCAAAATGCTCAATCACAACATAAAAATCATGCAATCCTAATCAAAGTTCCTATCAATGTATATAAACCAAAAACAAGTATCTAGACTTCGCAAGAAATTAAATTTAAGATAGAAATAAGGGAGGAATATGGTTTTGACACCCTACGAAATGTCGTTGCTAGTCTTTAACGTTTTTAGCAAGACGTTGGGCTCTTTTAGCCCGGATCAAAGATCTTATAATGCATCCCCTCCTTGTTGGGGTGATAGATGCTTTAAACTCCACCCAACAAATGGTTCTTTGAAGAACTTGTTGGATTAAGCTCAAAAGAAACTTTTGATCATTTGTCTATGCAATCACAACCTTTGGGCTTCCATGCCCTTTCAAAGCAAGAATTTGAAGTAACACTTTGAGAATGCAAGGTTGAAGATGATCCCTTTGAAGTTTTGGTCTTTCACAAAAGCTCACTTCCTTGACATTGAAGATCATGACATTTATCTACAACATTAACCTCTCCTTCATATTTGTCAAATGAATTAGGTGTGGGATTGAAGATATTCAACTTCACCTTCATGTGGCCAAATGAGATCTTCATTATCCCCGTCCTACAATTGATGTTGGCATTAGCGGTTGCCAAGAAAGGACGGCCAAGGATAACAGGAATTTGACTTTTAGGATTGGGGACCGGTTCCGTGTTTATGATAACGAAATCAATCGGGAAGAAGAATTTATTAATTTTAATCAACACATCCTCAATGACACCCCTAGGCTTCTTGATAGATCGGTTGGCAAGTTGTAAAACTACTGATGTCGGTTTTAATTCACCTAGGCCCAATTTGACATAAACCGAGTATGGAATAAGGTTAACACTTGCTCCTAAGTCAAGAAGCGCCCGATTAATGATATGATTACCAATGATGCATGAAGTAGTAGGTGAACCGGGGTCCTTAAACTTTGGCAAAGTGTTATGTTGCAAAATTGAGCTTACTTGCTCGGTTAAAACCACTTTCCTTGGTGCTTGGCTCTTGTTCTTCCACTTTTGGGTGCACAAGTTTTTCAAGAATTTGGCATAAGCCGGAATTTGCTTGATTGCATCTAGGATTGGAAGATTGACTTTTACTTGCCTAAACATTTCCATAATTTCATTGGTTTTTGCCTTTTGTTTTTCCTTCGAAATGGACCCTCTTAAGGCATCCGGAAATGGAACTTTTTCAAACACTTTTTCAGAATTTTCTTTGAACTCTCTTCAACACAAGAAGTTTTCAAATCACTTTGTTTCAAATCATTTTTCAGCAAAACTTTTTCAACATCATTTTTTTGCAAATCTTTCTTCAAATCATTTTGAAAATTATTCTTCAAATCACATTTCGAAGTTTTCTCATTCACAAGATCATGTATATGTAATGAATGAGGAATGGAATGTGAAACGGGACGGTTGACAACTTGAGGTTGCACCGGTTCACTCTCTTCATTGGACATTTCAACTTGATTGTCCACAATCTTACCACTCCGCAAGGTAGTCACCGCATTAACATGTTCAATGGTGTGGCCTTCCAATGAGGAATGGGTTTCCACAACACATTGTTGCTTAGGTGGGGCATTAATAGGCATCTTTCCCTTCTCTCTTGCATTAAGAGTGCTTGCTATTTGCCCTACTTGGGTTTCTAGCTTTGCAATAGATTGAGAGTGAGAATGAAGCGATTGAGTGTTAGCCTCTAAATTGCCCAAAGCATTTAAAACTTTTTCTTCAAATGTGGGACTTATAGTATTTTCTTGGGAATAAAATTGGTTGGGAAAATGTGAATTAGCAAATTGATTCCCTTGTGAATTATAAGGTCTATAACCTTGGGATCTTTGGTTTTGAAGTGGAGGTGGAATGTACTTCCCTTAAAAACCGCCTTGGGAAGGGTTTGAGCCCTCTCCTTGGTTTTTCCAAGAGAAATTCGGATGATTTTTCCAACTTGGATTATAATGAGTACCATAAGGATTGTTCCTTTGGTTCACAAAAGTTGCATTGACTTGTTCATTACGTTCATTTTGCACTTATCCATGAGGACAATGAGAAGTAGAATGAAGAACACTAGAGCAAGTCATATATGTTTCATTTGATGCACGATGAGAATGGTTAGGGAAGGAAGATACTTGGTTCGTCAAGTTTTGGTTAATCAAAAATTGATCAAACCTTTGAGATAAAGACTTCATTTTAGCGGCTATTTCATTTGAATGGTCGACTTGATGTAAGCCAACACTCTTCCTATCTTGTGAATTTCTACCATTTTTGGATGATAATGTTCTATGCAAAGAATTTTCACTCATGCTCTCATAAAGATGCTACACGTCATCCTCATGCCTATCAATGTATGAGCCACCCATGGAAGCATCAACCATACCCTTATAATTGTTCGATAAGCTCTCAAAGAAATATTGAACAAATTGCCATTTGGGCATGTCATGATGTGGACACTTCCTAAGCAACTCATTGAAGCGTTCCCATGCCTCATGAAACGTTTCTCCATCCCCATATGTAAATTCTCTAATTGAAGTTCTCATAGCATTGGTTTTTGAAATCGGATAGTACTTCTTCAAGAACTTTTGTTGCATTTCTGCCCAAGAAGTGATTGAAAAAGGCCTAAGATTGTTAAACCAATACTTTGCCTTGTCTTTTAAGGTGAATGGAAAAAGTTTGAGTCTTAAGACCTCTTTTGGCATGTCCGTATATTTTACGGTGGAACATACTTCAAGAAACTTATCCAAATGATTGTAAGGTTCTTCACTTGGAAGTCCATGATAGTTAGGAAGCATTTGAATGGTTTGTGGCTTAATTTTATAATGATGTGCTCTAAATGGAGGCAATTGGATGCATGTAGGTGCATTATACTCATTAGGCACATAATGGTCTCTTAAAGCAAGAGGTGGATTAGCTACTTGAGGTGCAACATGAACATCTTGGTTTTGAATTCCTTGATTGATGATGGAAGGTTGTGGAGCATACATTGCCCTTGGCATTCCATATGGAGCTTGGCCTTCTTGTTGTTGTGGTTGGTGAATGAATGGCCTAGGCATGCTTAATGGTGCTTGAATGTTCTCATGATGCACATTTGGGTGAAGGATACCTTGTTGGTCTATGTGACCAAGGTCCTCAACATGATCATCATTATAGTCATCCATTGATAGATTGGTTCTATTTGAACTTCCTTTTCCCCTAGGATTTCTAACGATGGATTCAAGATGCAAATCTAAAGGGACAAGAATGGGTTTCAATGAACGACGTCCATACATGCACAATGCAAAACACAACAAGCACAAAGAATGACAAACACTTCAACTTCACAACAATTTTAATGAAACTTCCTCCACAAACACTTAACCCATACTCCTATGCTTTAACAATAATGATACAAAGAACAATTAAAAGCAAGCCTCCACGTGAGTCGACGATTTAACTAAGGGATTGAGTAAAGAAAGTCTCACAAAGGTCCTTTAGCACTTCAACTCCAAATTTAAAGCTTAGCTTAGCAAATTTTTTAGATTTTTAGCATTTTTCCTTGCTTGCTTAGCTCTTTTGCCTGGATGCTTCTTTGCTTGGCTCCTAGCTCAATGTTCCCTGTCAAAGATGAACAAACACAATAAGTAATCTAAAGAAAAATAAAAACAAAGTAAAGACACGATCAAAAGAGTACTAATTCCTAATTGATTCCACAAATACGACGTTGCCAAATCAATTCAATCCTCGGCAACGGCGCCAAAAACTATGGTGTGTCGCCGCACCACAAGCTTAAGAGTGTGCATTAAGGCGAGGGCCAAGTTTTACATTTATAGAAGCCACTACTACCTTTCACTATAAATATAGCTAGGGCGAGTAGGGATCGTCCCAAGGGATTGTGAGGGTCAAACAAGGTTGTGGAATCGCTATTAGGGCTAGTAGGTCGAGTGATCAAACAATTGGTTGGTTGGTTGATTAGACTAGAGAGCAATCAAATTAAACTAAGTGATAACAAAAGAATGCTACTAAGAGCAAATAAGAGAGAAAAGAGTCTTGGGGTTTAGAGATCACCACCAAGCAATGCATTTCTATACCATTGACAAGTGACTAATGAGGGCAAATGGTGTGTTGCAATATTGTGTGTGTGTGTGTGTGTTTGGTTGATTCAACAAGCAAAGATGACTAGTTAAGCATGTATTGTCTAAACATTATGTGAAAGGCATAATATATCTAAGCAATGAAGCATATATTGTCTAAACAACATGTGAAAGGCACAATAGATCAAAACAAGTCGTTAATCCTTTCATTAAGCTCACAATCCAAATACAACACAAGGTTAGAGACATATGCAACTTGCATTCAAAAGCATGGATCATCAAACAACAAGTATGGATTGTCTTCCCATTTAACATTACACTACAACTACACTACTAGCATGAAAATAAACTAAGGCAGAGGCACAATCTATCAAGGAATAAGTATGAACCATCAAGAAAATCACAAGAGCATTCTATTAAGCACTATGTTTTGACAATCTCTAAATCTATGGCATCAATACACATAAACATGCATCAATAACACAAAATCTAGAGACAAGCACATGAATATCTATTCTGACATACATAGACATATGGATAGAATGAAATGATCAATTGAAAGCATTTAACCACATAAATCATTGAACAATTAAGATCTATATATATCAAAGTGTCAAAACATTAATTACAACACTAATCCCTCAATAATACACAAGATTAAGATATAGAAAGCATGCTTGGGGCTAACTCTAGCCCCAAGAGGATGTCTAGCCACTCATGGTGATGTTGCTCCAACTCTCAAGGGCTAACTCCATGGAAGAAATCTGCTCCTTGTTGATGAAGAACTCCAATGGTGTCTCTAGCCTCCTCCTCCTCTAAGCTTGATCTCCAAGAGATGATATGATATAATATTGGTTCCCCCTTATAAAAAGCAATCCTTATCCTTATATAGGTAGGTCAAATGACACCCAAAAATGAGCTGGGGTCGTGCACACAATATTCCCTAATGATTGGATAAAGGACAACTTTTAATGAGCTGAAAATTTAACTTTTTCGCATTGGAGGAAGTTCGATCGATCGAACCTTGGACTTGGATCGATCGAACTTTGCTGAGATCGATCGAAGCTTACTCTCCAAGAGATGATATGATATGATATTGGCTCCCCCTTGTAAAAAGCAATCCTTATCCTTATATAGGTAGGTCAAATGACACCCAAAAATGAGCTGGGGTCGTGCACATAATATTCCCTAATGATTGGATAAAGGACAACTTTCAATGAGCTGAAAATTTAACTTTTTCGCACTGGAAGAAGTTCGATTGAACGAACCTTGAACTTGGATCGATCGAAATTTGCTGAGATCCATCGAACTTAGGCTGGATCGATCTTCATTGGTGGCGCTTTTTGGATAAAGACAAATCTGAGATATTTTGAAGATATTTTTGGGAAAAGGACAAAAGTGGTTGGTAGGGTGATACAACTAGATAAGATCAATCATTTGGATAAGGACAAAACAGTTCGATCGATCGAAGAATGATGTTGGATCGATCGAACTTTTGAGATCTCGAAAAATGTCATCATGACTCTGATCCATCTTGAAGTGCTGAGATCGATCATGTTGGATCAATCGAACTTTGATCTGAGATCGATCGAAGATGTTGATTTCCACCTTTTTCTTCCTTTTGCTTCCACTTGGCTCATTTCTTTGATTCATCCCAGAATTGCTTCAATTAAGCTCTTATTTGACTGAGTTAGCTTATTTTCGGGATAAGTGTCTGACAATGGAAATAATATGAAATCAATCTAAAATGGTAAAGTAAGATAGATAAAGGTACTAGAATGTCTAAGCTTAAGGGGTTTAAATACCCACTTTTCAGCGCTCATCACCATGCATATATGCAGAACTCAATGTACCTATGCCTTGGAAAATTTTTGGAGGTTTTTGCAGAAATCGAGTAGGGCGCGACCAATGAAAACCTCACCCAGGACGCTACACTCCTATTGGATGATGTTCAGAGGCTCGAGGTTCCGGTTTCATGGCTGCGAAGACGATTATTTGGGGTTGAGAAGTGCTTGCAGCAGCGACTGCTCACACTACGCCTTCAAGAAGTACGGGCTCGTATTAGCAAATTAGAGGGGGAGCTCGCACAAGAGCGAGAGAGCTTGGAAGTATTGATAGCGTACTCACGGGAGCTCGATAATGATTACTCGTTGTTGTCATTATATAGGGATTAGACTTGTAGATTACTCTTTTGATTATTGATGTAAATGAGTCAAAGACTCCATAATTGTAATCGAACAACCTTGAATGAAAAGAAAATTTGTGATTATTCCACTCTTGGTTTTGTTATTATTGTTGTTGTTTTTTTTTTTTTTTTAAGAACTTGAGTCATGTACCAAGCTGAATAAAACCAGTAACTTTCATTCAGGATAGCCAAGTTTAACAAAAGTAAGGCTTGAGCCAAACATTATGAATGGGGCTATGATCAGAGCCCTCGAGTATGCAATAGCCACTATCACTAGATGTTTTGACAATATTTAAGCCCTGGCATCGCTCCAGGCCCTCAAACCTCGAAAGATCAAATCTCGAGCACTCTAAACCCTGGCATCGCTCCAGGCCCTCAAGCCTCGAAAGATTAAATCTCGAGCACTCTAAGCCCTGGCATCGTTCCAGGCCCTCAAGCCTCGAAAGATCAAATCTCAAGTACTCTAAGCCCTTGCATCGCTCTAGGCCCTCAAGTCTCGAAAGATCAAATCTCGAGCGCTCTAAGCCCTGACATCGCCCTAGGCCCAGTAAGACTCGAGAAGCCGATCTTCGAGCATTCCAAATCCTGGTGCCACACCAGGCCCATCAAGTCTCGAGAGATCGACTCTCGAGTATCCCGAATCCTGGTGTTAGGCCAGATGATGCTGTCCTGAAAGATCGGAGCTCCTTAGCACGAGATGAGGTAGGAACTTTGTGTTATAGGAATCCATGTTTGGGAAACTTAGGAGGATCTTGGATTGGTGGATGAGAAGTCAAGAAGTGCCTTCGCTCTCGGCAAGGCCCAATTAACAAGATGATGGGAGTATACACGTTGTGGCAGCAAACCTTAAAATCACAATTAATGTTGTGTCAGGCTTGACCAACCAACGGCCAAGCAACATTTAATGCCTCTGATTAGGGGAGAAGTGACATGGCAACATGGGACAAGGCTCGAGGAAATGATTAGACCCTTCAGCCCCCTAAATCTTCAGGATTATTCACGTAATCCGGATTGGGGGTGATGCATGCGAGGAACCATGCATAGAGGGGACCATTGGATAATGACCAATGGAATCTTGATCTATAAATGGCACTATTCTATGAAGAAAAAACAAGCTCTCCTGAACAAAAGAAAAGCTGTCATACTGTATACTCGCCCTACCACCATCTTGATCTAGTTAGTTGGTCTTCTTCTCCTCCTCCTACACTGAGCATCTCATCTGTTTTCCTTCGTATTTGTGTTCCTGATATCCCTTTTTATTGCTATTTTATTACCTAGTAAAAAAGAACCCGTACATTTTGGCGACTCCGCTGGGGATATCAGTGCAAGCAGATGGAATCACAGGATATGCCGACTCACAATTTAGAGCCCTCTGTTGGGGGTGGTGGCAGCGTTCCTTTTCAATCCCAAGCACCGTCACATGCTTCCAATGCTCGTGCACCACATATCACAATGCCGGAAAGTTCAGCGGCCCCTTCTGTTCATGAGGAGTTGTTGCAGTCCAACCGTGATCTTAACGACTGCCTTGATAGGTTGGAAGCCTTGATCATGCAGAGTGCATGAGCCAAGACTGTTTCTCCTACTAGAGTGGCCCTTCCTAAGCATGACCAGCCAGGTAGTTCGTGTATTCAAGTGTCACCGCTATGGTATCAGCCGACGCAAGCCCAAGCAGCCCCAAAGCCCACCCCAGTTCAAACAGTTCCACCGGCAAACCCCTCCCCGGAATATGTCACTGAATCTATGCTACGTGATTTTTCCATGGAACATGCCCCATCGGCTGCACGTGCGTTAGTTTTGCGTACGGAGCCTCCGTACCCAAAAAGCCTGGCTCAGACACTATAATACCCCTAGTTTTCAAATTGATAGAATTGAAAATTTAGTTTTGTTTTTCATTGATTAATTAACGTAGTTATGTGACTTAGTTGTCTTTGTTTTTTTTTTTTTTTTTTTTAAAATTGATTAATTGTGTTTGCTTAATTGATTTAATTAATATCCTGGAATTTAATTTATTTGTTTAAGTGCATTTTTAGTGTTTAACTGTTTAATTGAATGCTATTATTTGGATGCATTGATGAATTATTTTAATTGTTTTGTTTCCTTAATTGAATTAAGTGTTGCATTTATTTGTTAATTTTTTTAGTTAATTGGATTTTGTTTTATTGGTTATTTGATATAATTGTATTAATTATATTAATTAGTTAAATACGTTAGTTGGAGTTCTTGTTTAATGAATTATATGGTTGTTAAGTATTAACGTATTATTAGGGTTTTATATAGCCGACTTAGGGTTGGTGTAGAATTAAACTTAGGGTTTAATGACGCCCTATATAAATTGCATTATACGTATGATTAGGGTTACAAACAAAACCCTATTCACGCATACAATGAGATAGAGAGACACAGAGAAGCAGAGAGCGGGAACTTGAGAGCTTGCAGAGAGGTTCAAGGAGGTTGTAACGGAGTGCTTCTGGGTTAAACCAAGAGTGCCGGAGGTGTAGAACAATAGTCGACAACGTTGATGGAAAACTTAGAGACGACAGTTTCAGTTTTCTAACCGGAAATTAGAGGCAAGTCTTGCTCTTACTCTTTCCTTTTAATTCGTATTCTGTGCATGCCTAGTTAGACCCGAGGGACTTAATAAAGGCTAAAACAGTTGTAAACAAACTTATTAACATGTTTTATGTATATACAAATCTGGTTTAGTACTCGTGAATTAACTGTTTTGCTTAATTGTGATACTCTGTTTTTTCTGTAGTTTATGGTTAAGTTTAGTTTAAACTGAGGTTTGTAAATTTTATGTTGGATGCCTTGTAACTAATCCAGGAGTGAGTTTAAACCCTAAAACAAGATCTTAAAACAGTTTTGATTTTTTTTTTTTACTAAATAAATCTGTTGTAAGTTGCTTAAAGTTGCTATCGGAAATTCTGTAATCGTTGCTTCAAAACTTGTGTCTAATTCAGATCATGGTTGCATATCAGTGGGTTAGGATTAATTTAGGACAAAGATTGAACCTTAAAACAACTATTAAGAACATTACAGAGGTCTAGGAAAACACCGGAGTTGGAGAAGAAGACACAGAAGCAGTCGACGGCGTCTAAGGGAGTGAGAGCAAGCTCAAAAAGGGGAAAGAGCCGGCTCTGTAACCCTTAGAGCCGGCTCCCTAATGTTGGAGCTGGCTCTTGGCAGCCTTAGAGCCGGCTCTTAGGGCCATAGAGCCGGCTCAATCAACCAAAGAGTAGGCTCCATTTTTCTAGAGCCTGCTCTTATCCAGTTTTTGCATTTCTGTGAGGTTTTGGGGCGTGTTTGGGCTACATAGTGTTTTCAAAAGCTGTTTAAAGGCTATTGTAAGGTGTAATTAAATGTTAGGGACTTATGTTAAAGTTAAAAGCACTTAGTACAGTAGTGGATTAAGGAAATGAGTAAGGAACAGATCAAAGAAATGTCTATACGTTGCACTGTTTAACTAAGGAAATTAATTACCGGAACTTAGCAAATTGTTGGTATATGAATTAATTATATTTAATCATATTTTCCACCATGTAATGAATGTAGTGAATTATCTGTAAATTCAACTATGATTGGTTTGGAATGAATGGGTACTTAAGGGCTGTTAAAAGGTATCAGCTTATGCACTGTATGTAGAATTTAAATACTATGAAATATTTTAGCTATTTAAATTGTTAGAGTATGATAATTAGGTTCTGAAGTGAATACCTAATGTTGATATGTATGTATGAATTCATATTGGTGCATAGTTTGGAGGATGGCAGTTAATTATATAGTGTTGTTTTAGTAACTATGCTATGTTGGAGGATTTGTTAGTTTTAGATATTGGAGCTTAATAAGGTTGTTAAATATGATTTGAATATATATAATAAATCATATGTCCATAGTATTGTAAGTATAGTGAATTAACTAAAATTATCTATGCTTAGCTTGGGTGAAATTGATACTTAAAATATTTATTCACTGTATCAATTCATGGACTATGATGGAGTATGTGAATGCTTGAATTTATTGTAGCACTTTACATTATTGGAATTAGATTTTAGGCCCGTAATGAATGCCTAATATTTATGTATATGCATTAAATTATCTTGTGCATATTCTAGAGTGTGGTTGATGACTACTTAATATTGTATGGTCAACTGTGTTAACTGGAGGATTGTATGTACCGGTATGGGACGGTGACATATTAGGTATGGATTAGTTCAAACACTAAATCCTACCTAAATTGGAATGAGTTGGATTAATCATAAAAATGTTAAGTCCTACTTATACGGATGTATATATATGAACCGGTATGGGACGGTGTTATATTGGGGATGACTTAGCACAAAATACTAAGACCTATCTAAATTGGATTAAGGTATGGATTAACCATAAAGGTTAAGTCCATCACCTATATGTGTCATATCAATTGTGAATTGAAAGACTTACTACAGTTTCAGGATGGAGTGTTTACATATATCAGACCCCTACATAGATGGCTGATATTTGGTATTGGGAGTAGCGACTTTATATATATATTCTATGTGCCGTGGTATGAGCTTGAGTCTCAGGACCATGGTTAGGGCGCGTATATCGCCTAGTATGGATAACTGAACATATGTGTTGTTCCTTGGTAGGTCTAGGTACTCATGCCCACCTTAGGGTGCGTATTCGCATGTTGCCTTCTATTCAGGCTGAGATAGACCTACTGGACTAGCGAACGTCCTATAGTGTGTACTATATATACATATATGGACTACTCTAGATATTGTTGAGTCTTCCTAGGATGTATCTGTGTATCGGATTACTGTTTGGATCGTAGAAGATCAGGACTTGCATGTAAGCCTGACCCACTCTATTATTTTTTCAGGTGTTCGAAAGTACCAGGCTTAGAGCTTGATCGTGTTGATGCAGATACAGACACTCACTCTTCCGGTTACATAGGATTTCCTTTCTATTTTAATTTTTGGATTTTAATTTTGTAAATTTATTCAAGGATTTAGGATTAGGAGTCCACTAGGTGGATTCCCGAGTTGTACGGTTTTAAATTATATTAATTTATTATTTCAAGTTTGAGGATTCTTATTTTAGATTTCTTTCAGCATATTATTAATTTATTCTTAGTTCAGTTTTATTTCTGCTTGTTTACATATTAATTGTTTGGTATTCCTCAGTTATGTGCTCGGACTTGATCACCCGTGGCTCTAGAATCGAGGGGTATCACAGACACCGTACCCACAGGGGTACATCATCCCAAAATTTCCCAAGTATGACGGCGTCAAAGGGGATACCGATGAGCACTTGCAAAGATTCGTGGAATCTCTAGGCCAACATAGCCATGATGAAATCCTACGCCTACGAGAATTTTCCAAGTTTCTCACCGAGCTCGCGTATAGATGGTTTCGTAGTCTCGAGCCAGACTCGGTCACCACTTGGCAACAACTCTCCCAGAAGTTCCACGACAAGTTTGGTCAAGCCATCGAGAGGGTTACTACTCTCTCTTTCACCAAAGAAACGCAAGAATCTCACGAGGAACCCCTCAAGTTCATTTCTCGTTTCCAGACCCGTGCGAGGGAATGCTTCGAGGCTAGCAGTGAAAGGGATCTGGTTGATATTTGCATACAAGGCATGACTAAGACCTACATGATACACTTGGTCAATCTGGGTCTCAACAGCTTTAGTGATTTCACTACAGCTGTACGGAACATTTGTAAAGATCTTGTACCTCCCAAGGCAGAGGTCGCTGGACAGGTCACTCGCAAGGACACGCTGGTTGCTCCTCGCAATGACAGGGCCAAAAAGCGTCGCGAAACAGATGTTAGGGCCAAGGGATCTCGAGCTGAGCGAACAAATGATCCTCCCCCATTCCCAGTATGTATGGAAGAAGTTGCCAGTACTCTCGAACAGTGGGTCAAGCACGGTGTAGTCGTGCTACCCGTCCCTCATAAAGAGCCGACCGCACAGGATCGTGCGAGTTTAAATTTTTGTATCTTCCACCAAGCCACTTCACATCCAACAAGTGTATACAGGATTCTGAGGCAAATTTTTCGGCAACGGCTCGAGGGTGGTGATCTCGAGTTGACCGTGCCAAAGGATGTGTGGCACAATCCGTACCCTCGTCATCGCGGTGTGGCTGTGGTCACGTATTATGACGAGTTTGAAGAAACCAACCCCACGCAATCAAAGGTTCAGGCGCAATACGGCGAGGAAGAGTGTTGTGCAGCCGCTTCGTCAAGTCAACCCTCCTCTTACCAGGCTCCATTGACCATTTCTTTCTCTGAATCTGACAAAAGGGTCTCTACCCCTCAGAATCGTCCACTCTATGTCACTGAGCAACTCAATGGTAGGGAGTTCCAGCACGCTTTTCTTGATAACGGGTCTTCCATTAACATCATGCCATGGGCCACCTTTCAGAAAGCTAGTTTGCTCCAAGATCGTCTTGTCAAAGAAGCCATCGAGGTCTATGGTTTCGGCAATGAATCCCACCAAACTCTCGGCTCTGTAAATGTTGATCTCGCGGTTGGTAGATTTCGAGCTCCCACCAAATTCCATGTCGTCAAGGCTGATACATCATATCATGTGCTCCTCGGGTGGGCGTGGATGCACCGTTTCGGCATAGTAGCTTCTACCTATCATCAATGTTTCAAAGGCATCTTGGGAAACAAGGTCATCATGGTTCCGTGCTCTGATAAGCCTTTTGCCAAGCATGAGGCACACTTTACTGAGGCTCTCTTCTTTGATGAGTTGGATGATGAGGATGAAGAAGCAGAGGCGCATATAATTCGTACTCCGCTACCCAAGTGGGAGGAGGTACAGCAGGGCATTTTTTACACTCTATAGCCGTATGTTCTTCGTCGCAGTGCAGAAATCGCTACCCCGCGGGGAGCGCAAACGAGTGAGGCTGCTGGATGGGCAATATGTCTATCGCTTATGACGGTGTGCGGGCTCCGCCTTGGCGAGCCCAGTTGTTGAGCCTACGAGTGTAAAGGAGGAGCCACTGCAACTGCCGGATCTCGAGGAAGTCAATTTCGCCCCTGCAGGACGAGAACCACGGGCAACTTTCATCTCCTCGCAATTGGACCCATCGTTGCGCGATGACCTTATTTGCCTCCTGAAGGAATTCTTGGACGTCTTCGCATGGACCTTTAGCGAGATGCTAGGACTTGATCCCCAGCAGAGTTGGCAAAATGTAGGGATTCTGTTTTTACTAGGTAATAAAATAGCAATAAAAATGGATATCAGGAGCACAAATACAAAGGAAAACATAGGAGATGCTCAGTGCAGGAGGAGGAGAAGAAAACCAACTAACTAGATCAAGATGGTGGTAGGGTGAGTATACAGTATGACAACTTTTCTTTTGTTCGGGAGAGCTTGTTCTTTCTTCATAGGACAGTGCCATTTATAGATCAAGATTCCATTGGTCGTTATCCAATGGTCCCCTCTATGCATGGTTCCTTGCATTCATCACCCCCAATTTGGATTACGTGAGCAATCCTGAAGATTTAGGGGGATGAAGGGTCTAATCCTTTCCTCGAGCCTTGTCCCATGTTGCCATGTCACTTCTCCCCTAATCAGGGGCATTAAATGTTGCTTGGCCATCGGTTGGTCAAGCCTGACACATCATTAATTGTGATTTTAAGGTTTGTTGTCAATGTGTATAATCCCATCATCTTGTTAATTGGGCCTTGCCGAGAGCGAAGGCACTTCTTGACTTCTTATCCACCAATCCAAGATCCTCCTAAGTTTCCCAAACATGGATTCCTATAACACAAAGATCCTACCTCATCTCGTGCTAAGGAGCTTCGATCATTCAAGACAACATCATCTGGCGTAACACCAAGATTCAAGATACTCGAGAGTCGATCTCTCTAGACTTGATGGGCCTGGTGTGGCGCCAGGATTTGGAATACTCGAAGATCAGCTTCTCGAGGCTTACAGGGCCTGGGGCGATGCCAGGGCTTAGAGCACTCGAGATTTCATCTTTTGAGGCTTGAGGGCCAGGAGCGATGCCAGAGCTTAGAGTGCTCGAGATTTGATCTTTCGAGGCTTGAGGGCCAGGAGCGATGCCAGAGCTTAGAGTGCTCGAGATTTGATCTTTCAAGGCTTGAGGGCCTGGAGCGATGCCAGGGCTTAGAGTGCTCGAGATTTGATTTTTCGAGGCTTGAGGGCCTGGAGCGATGCCAGGGCTTAGAGTACTCGAGATTTGATCTTTTGAGGCTTGGGGGCCTTGAGTGATACCAGGGCTTAGAGTGCTCGAGATTTGATCTTTCAAGGCTTGAGGGCCTGGAGCGATGCCTGGGCTTAAAGTGCTTGAGATTTGATCTTTCGAGGCTTGAGGGCCTGGAGCGATGCCAGGGCTTAAAGTGCTCGAGATTTAATCTTTTAAGGTTTGAGAGCCTGGAGTGATGCCAGGGCTTAAAGTTTTCGAGATTTGATCTCTCGAGGCTTGAAGGCCTGGAGCGATGCCAGGGCTTTGAGTGCTCGAGATTTGATCTTTCGAGCCTTGAGGGCCTGGGTCGATGTCAGGGCTTAGAGTGCTCAAGATTTGATCTTTCGAGGCTTTTAACTTTTCAACTTGCCACGGAGGGTTTAGCTAGGGTTGTATTGACTTGTCAACGTGCCACATCAGCGTCTGATAAGTGACACCCACATAAGCCATGTCAATTCTCTTGCCGAGAGTCATTTTCTAATGACAATGTTACCAACACTAGTATGTAATGAATGGATAAAATTGATTATAAGGATTGGCCATATATATATACATCCAAAGGTATATACATCCAAAGATGGTGGTTGACCTGGTGTTGTTTGTGGTTGCACTTTTGGTGGTGGTGCAGCAAGTGGTGATTGACCTGGTGGTGTTGGTGGTTACAATTTTGGTGGTGGTGCAGCTACTAGTAGTTGACCTGGTGTTGTTGGTGGTGGTGCAGCTACTAGTAGTTGACCTGGTGTTGTTGGTGGTGGTGGTAGTGGTGGTGGTGGTGTTGCCATTTTGGTGGTGATCCACTAGTCGGTGGTGGTGGCAGTTTCCACTTTGGTGGTGGTTGACTGTTGTTGGTGTTGGTTGTGGTGCAAGTGGTGGTGGTGGTGGTTACCATTTTGGTGGTGATCTGCTAGTCGGTGGTGGTGGCAGTTTCCACTTTGGTGGTCCGCTAGTTGGTGGTGGTGTTGGTGGTGGCAAGTGATCAATGTGGTGGTGGTGGAACCGGACCATCACTAGGGTTTGGTGGCGAAGCAACGGGAGGTGGTTGGACACATGCACTGACAAGGTGGTGTTTATGGTGGCGTACTATATGCAGGTGGAGGTGGTGGTGGCGTGCATGCAGGTGGTGGTGGTGGTGGTGGTGGTTGCGCCGTGATACACGCAGGTGGAGGAGGAGAATAGTATGGATAAGCCATGTCAATTCTCTTGCAGAGAGTCATTTTCTAATGACAATGTTACCAACACTAGGATGCAATGAATGTTTACCTAAAACTTAAAATACATATGTAGAGAATTGTGAAATGTCATAAAGAGGGATGAAATTTTTTAGAAGACTGGGACTTGGTGGAATTTTTGTATATGAGAGAATTCTAGAGAAGTGGATATTGTAGAGTTTGTAAATATGAAGATATTTGGGTGGAGAATTCTAAAACGAAATTTTAATTTATCGATTGAAAAATATTATAGAATATGTAAATATGAAGATATTTGGTGAAAATTTTTAGAGGGTAAATCATAATCATTTCCAACTGCAGGGCACAATATTAATACTAACGACTTGTTTACCTGTACGCGTTATAATTTTTAAGAATGATATTCACAGTTTTATGGCAAGGAACTGGTCCATGGTGGACAATTATACGAGTGACAATATATTGCTGGCTCAGGAATTCCTTCAATTCAACAACAGTAAACTTCCCACTTATAATAATCTCTTGGATCAGAGAACGCATAACTCTAGCTCCTTAATTCTCTATATCTATCAATAGTGAGCTTCATGGTTTTTTCAGAGGTGTTAGAGGGCTTAGATAGGGAAACCCTCCCTCCCCATCTTTTTTTTTTTTTTTTGTGATTGTAATGGAAGTTTTCTTCCTCATTACACACCGAATTATTTCATTCAACCCATCATTTTGCTGTCATTGGAGGTGTAAAGACCTTAACATTACCCATCTCTGCTTTGATGATGATTTACTGCTTATCCCTCACGGTGACTACACTTCTGTGTCCATCCTAAAGCAGGCTTTTGACACCTTATCCTCATTGTCTACCTCTCATCTCTAAAGGATTGAAGGCCAGTGACTGTCAAGTTTTGGTTGAAAAAATCAATAATAGAATCAAGCGCCGGACTTCTAAGGCTCTGTCCTATGCTGGTAGGGATCAAGTCCACACTCTTTAGCATACTATATTACTGGGTAGGGTTGTTTATTCTCCCAAAGAAGACAATCAATGACATCAACAACACCTTGGTGCTTTCCTATGGTTTGGTGTGAATATGAACCACCATAAAGCTAACCGCATTAGTTTATGTAAGCCCAAGGATGAAGGGGGTATGGGCATACCCAAAATTGATCTTTGGAATTTGTTCTCTAAAAGGAATCAAAGCCTTTGGGTGGATTGGAGTCACATTAATTTACCTACTCAAGAACAAAAGCTTTTAGATAACTAGCTTACCTCAACAAGCTTTTTGGACTTGGAGGAAGATGTTGCAGCTTCGGAGCATTGATAGGCCATTTGTCGAACATCACATAGGCAATATGAGAGCCATATCCTTTTGGTATGATAACGGGTGTCATCTTACTCCTCTTGCAGACAGTTTCATAGCAGGGCAGTTTGCTACTGTCAGCAACTTCATCACAGATGGCGCTTGGTCCTTTCCCTCTTTATTAACTAGGCCATTCCCATGCTTAAGGAACACATCTTTCTTAGCCTCATTGTCTCACACAAAATATTCATGATATATGGACTATGGAGGGAACGTAACAGTAGGTTGCTCCAAGGAACGGCTTCCCATGCGAACCAGATGCTGAATTACACCATGGAAACAGTTAAGGGCAATGAAGTGGAAGCCCTCTAAAGATGCACTTTGATTGATGCAAGAGTGGGGCCTTCCTCCTCCATCTCAACCATCCCCCACTCCTAACTAGTATTGCAGATGAATGATGCTCTGGTTTTTGAATGGGTTGAAAATGGGCTGGGCTGGGCTGTTTGGGTTTGATTGTTGGGCTTAACTTCCTGTTGGCCCATTGTTTGTACAATCTCATTTCTTTCTATAAATTGATTTACCTTTAAAATAAAAAAAAAAATAAAAAAATTTGTCTATTTTGGTAAAAAAAAAAGTTTTTAAAATTTTCAAATCAAAATTCTGCAACAGTTGTATTTTGCTGATTGTTAATAGCTAATACTTCTTCAATATATATATATATATTTCCCGTTTTGCAACTACTAAAATAGGCCAGGGTGGTGATAAACTAAGTTACACAATTCTTGTCACGTTTCGTGCACGCTGTGCGCGTTTTTTGCTTCTGCTCTCACTTTGTGTAATTTAGATTTTGTCGTTTTTTTACTACCACTCTTATACCCACCGTCTCTCCCACTTTGTATAACTTATTTCAAAAATATATACACCTGTTCACCCCCCTCTTATTTGAAATTGAGCCTTTGAGTTATCCAAGTTTCATACATATGTCACGCATTTCCCTTCTATTCCCTTGTAGCAAGAACAATCAATCTACTAACCCGCCATTTTAATATAAAAGCATAATGAAGCAGCACTATTAATTAATAGCCCAGAAGCTGGATTATACAGTTTAAAAGTGTATTACCTGAATTCTCTACTCACCATTCGCATTTGTATTGCGAAGTTGGATTAGACAGTGAAAAATGAAAATGATGTATTTAGGGTAGTCCACCATCCTTTAGTTAAATGCACCAAGATTCCCAGATTTTGCCGTGGACGTAAATTTCTGCTTAACCAAATTTTGAATTAGATATTGGATCATTCCAAGATAGAGTGAAGACCCTACATTCTACCTAACCCAGTCTGACATTGTAGACTTGTTGGTGCTAACATATTGAAAATTGTTAATGTAATTTGAATGCAATTGTTTGACTTTTCAAAAAAAAAAAAAAAAATGCAAGTGAATCCCAATTACGGGAATCCACATAGTTCTTCAGCTGACATATTATGAATAATTACAATGTATGTCAATCCCAATTACAAGAATCCTCATTGTTCTTCATAGTATGCAAATCCAAATCAATTTACAATTTCTTAGACTCTGTTTTCATTGAAAAGAGAGAAAAGAAGAAGGAAAATGAGATCTTAGCCATTAATCACTAGCCACTTGACCAAGAAAGAAGAGTAGTCTTTTTTTTTTCTTTTTCTTCTTAGTTAACCTGAGTGTTCAGGAAGGCACGAACCGCTCAACAACTCAATTAATTTTTGAGGGTTCAGAAGAGCGCCTCTCTATCCAGGCTAAGTAAGTCACTATACGGACAGCGAAAGCTAGTCACAAAGAAAATCCAATGGGAATCGATTTCTAAATTTTAGACTTCTAAATATCAAAGTCCAGCTATTAAATAACTCTGTCATTTTTAAAGTGGATAAAGACGTCTTTTTTTATTTTTATTTTTTTATTAGGTAAATGTATGAAGAAGTCTTTGTTTTCAAATTCCATTTGGTTTCTTCAGCCAAAATGTCTGCATACATGACACCTAATAACCCATTATTAAAAGTATGGAAAATGATATTCCAGTCAATTTGTGGTTGTAAAATATTATCGGTTATTTTGTCAACAAATAGTACAAAATAACTTTATTATATTCATGCACCCATAGCACTTCAATAAAAATGGGAACTATTATATGCTAAAATGCAAGTCCACATGAGTAAACATAGAGTCTCTTTGTAGCAGTGTAAGCAATCCTTAATTTTCAGCACTGCTTCATGATTTAGGAGCTCTGATTTACCTTTCCATCATCACAATATTTTATATAAAACTTGTATTTTAGCTATTGATTTTCCTTGGAGGGTTCTTACCTTCGTACTAACTCAAGATATGTTTATTGAACTCTATGTGTTAACAAGGAGTTATTTGTATAAATAGGTATAATTCATGTGATTAAATAGGTATAAATTAAATAAGTACATTAAAATACAAAAAAAAAAATTCTTCGTCCTATAGATAGATATAGGATCTGTTGAACAATTAGGTAGAAGTACATTTTATGCAATAGTTATTTTTTATATTTTTAAAAGCATGGAAATTAATTCCAGGATTGGAAGTAGTAGGATTGATTCTCATAATAATAAATTAAAATACCTAGTTTAATCAGGAAAAATAAATTCCATTGCTGTTACTTTGATCACACGTGAACAAATATAATACAATACAATATTCAATCAAATGAATACAAACCCATCAGACAATATTTAATCCAGAATTTGCAGAAGAGGGTGGACAGATATGTGACATGTACTATACACTTCTATCGATCAACAAATGGTATGTGTGTGTGTGTTTTCCAATTCAAGAAAACCCTACAAGAAGCAAACAAAAAAAGACACTTCCAATAAGCAGAGCTAAAATGCAAGCAGATTGTATGATCTTTAACCACATTAATGCCGATGGCTTGATTATGCATGACTACTACTTGCAGCCCCTGCGACACCGGGTTGTGAACTACCATAACTGGAAATGCCTCCAACTTCATGAATTTGGCCATAGTCCTCCTCAACTACTACTGCCACAGCCTCAGTTTCTTCAGCACACGGCGGCGGTGGCTCCTCGGGGCAAGCAGGTTGCTCTTCGACACAAGCAGCTGCTGCTGGGACCAGTATGGGCTTCTTTTTCTTCTTAGCGAAGCAGAAGAGGCCAACTGCAAGGAATGCCAAGAAGAATAAACCACCAAGAGAGACACACACCACTATGACGGTTGTGTGGTTGTTGCCTCCTCCTCCTGGAGGCGGCGGCGGTATTAGAACGTTTGATGGTGGTGGTGGGATTGAGTAGTTTGGTGTAGGTATTGTAGGAGGTGGTGCAGCAAGTGGTGGCTGACCTGGTGGTGTTGGTGGTTGCAACTTTGGTGGTGGTGCAGCATGTGGTGGCTGACCTGGTGGTTGCCACTTTGGTGGTGGTGCAGCATGTGGTGGTTGACCTGGTAGTGTTGGTGGTTGCAACTTTGGTGGTGGTGCAGCATGTGGTGGTTGACCTGGTGGTGTTGGTGGTTGCCACTTTGGTGGTGGTGCAGCATGTGGTGGTTGACCTGGTGGTGTTGGTGGTTGCAACTTTGGTGGTGGTGCAGCATGTGGTGGTTGACCTGGTGGTGTTGGTTGCAACTTTGGTGGAGGTGCAGCAAGTGGTGGTTGACCCGGTGTTGTTGGTGGTGGTGCTGTTGGTGGTTGCCATTTTGGTGGTGGGCCGCTAATCGGTGGTGGTGGTCTGCTAGTTGGTGGTGGTATTGGTGGTGGCAAGTGATGTGGTGGCGGTGGAGTTGGTGATTGTGGTGGAACCGGACCACCACTAGGGTTTGGTGGCGAAGCAACGGGAGGTGGTTGGACGCACTGACAAGGTGGTGTTTGTGGTGGTGGCGGCGGCGTACTACATGCAGGTGGAGGTGGTGGTGGTGGCGTGCATGCAGGTGGTGGTGGTGGTGGCGGTGGTGGCGTGCATGCAGGTGGTGGTGGTGGTGGCGGTGGTGGCGGTTGCGCCGTGACACAAGCAGGTGGTGGCGGCGGCAACGCTGGTGGAGGAGGAGAATAGTATGGATAAGCCATGTCAATTCTCTTGCGGAGACTCATTTTCTAATGACAATGTTACCAACACTAGGATGCAATGAATGGATAAAACTGATCACAAGGATGGGCTATATATATATACACACACACACACACACACACACACACATCCAAAGGTGGCTTCAAATTTATTTATAATCCCAACTATATCACATAGTCCACTTGTGTTATAATTAGTGAGCTAATTCTCTTAGACTCTAACTAAGTTTTTGGTGACTTGGATTTACAACATTAATAAAATTATTGATTCAACGGTTGGAGCAAACCAGATCAAAACATTTTGGACGGTCCTTGTTTATCCCATCTTAATAAGCACATCTAATTTGTTAGGTGTAAAAGGTAACGCTACCTTTAAAAAAAATGCACATGTCTAAAAGACACAAAAGTAATGAGTACCAAACTCATCATTGGTCAAAAAAATCTTTGTTTTATGAATATAGGATCAAAACATTATCTTAAAAGCACATTAAATTGTGACAATAGTAGCACAAGTTGGGATTATAAAATTGTGTGAATGATAACACAAGTTGTGTTGTTCTTTAACTGATCCTAGTGTGTACCCACAAAAAGAATATTTGTTAGTTTGTTTGTGATGGACAAAATCTAATTAAGAACTTTCATCGAGGCTTTGAGTATAAGTAATTGAAATTAATGTCCCGTGAACCTTGTGCTTGCTTAAATTGTACGAATTACAGATTGTATTGTCCAACATGTATGTGTGTGTATATATATATTTCGTTAAATATGTCCTACATATGTTTGACTGCTTCTATGTATGATGTATCAATGTTATATTGTTTATTTGACATCATTGTCATGCATCATTCCCTATGATAGATACATTTTTAACTCATTGAATTTATAACTAATTTATCTTAATTAATTAATCTTTAAGCTTATTACAACTTGGCTTTCTCATAAACAATTTGCTTGCTTCACGCCACAAGTTCCGCGACCGGCCGAGATGGCATGCTAGTGGACTTAACAACATGCTACGTAAGCAAATGCTCTATCGGAAGTAATTTCGATTTCTCAAATTGTCCCGTCTTTAAATAATGTAGATTTTATTTTATTTTTTATTATTATCGAATCAAAATCAAAGATAGTACTTCCAAAATCTTACCAATTATGATTAACTTGTACCTCAAAAATTTGACCATATTAAAGACAATTTTAGTAAGTGGTTCTGGTACGTAATTAATGTAAGCAAAAATCATGTTAAATTGCAACTTAGATATTTGGAACTACAACTTGATTCGTTACCTATACTTAAGTGAAATATTTGGAAACAATACTTTATAGTAATTATTTGTGGTAGTTTGTTATATCTATTTTATTAGCATATTCATTGTAGTACTACTATGATTAAATGAAGTTATTGAATCTCCATATATATATATATATATATATATATATATATATATATATCATGCACATGGACAGCTACGAGTGAAGCTCATTGAAGTGTTATGCACAAATTGAAAACATGAAGAGTATACACTTCAACATATTGTTCTAAACCATGGAAGTTCTCTTTCATTGGTTGCTCTGTTGTACATATTTCTTATTTATAAAGCTTACCCTTTTAACCAAAAAAAAAAAAAAAAACAAACATGCATATTGAAAATGTTGACTTGATGTAGGTTCATGCAGGATAAGTTTCTGGTCATGATATGTATATATAGTCTTGGACGCTTAGATATTAGATGTCTTATTACTTTGTATGTACATATATGCAATTTTGTATTGATGCTAGATGTCTTATTACTTTGTATGTACATATATGCAATTTTGTATAGAAAAAAGTGTTTTAGTCTGTTTCCGTGTCTATGTTCGTGTCACTAAACTAGAAAGCACGAATATAGGAATGGATTAGAAGTTGATTTCTTGTATTGGTTCATCAATTTCTTGGGGAAAACCTCTTTTTTTACTCTTCTCCTTGCATTTCTTAGTTTGTTAGAATATATATATATATATTCTAACACTTCTTAGAATATATATATATATATATTAGTTTGTTAGGAATGGATTAGAAGTTGATTTCTTGTATTGGTTCATCAATTTCTTGGGGAAAACCTCTTTTTTTACTCTTCTCCTTGCATTTCTTAGTTTGTTAGAATATATATATATATATATATATTCTAACAAACTAAGAAATGCAAGGAGAAGAGTAAAAAAAGAGGTTTTCCCCAAGAAATTGATGAACCAATACAAGAAATATATATATATATATATATATATTAAATGCAAACTGGAAAGCTGACCAATTTGACTAATCTTAGCTTCCATTTCAAATTGATTGCGTGCAAACAAGACCATTAACCATTATATCAACTACATGCATTCATTAGTCAAATATATGATAAAGTCATCGGTGCATGTTTGAAATATATGTAATCCCTCATGAAATTTGATTGCATTACAAGGTGAAGAGATCGACAAGGGGAGAGACTAACACTTATATTCTTTAGATCATTTAACATCAGTGATCAGATTTCGAGTACAATTCATGTACATCTATTGTAATTAATTATCTGAATGATTAGGGACGGGTCAGAAAATTGTGTTAGAGAGAATAATAGTATAATATTTTAGTAATTTTAGTGGGAGCTATAGTGTAATTTTGTAGTTATATATATATATATATATATATATATATATATATATATATATATACTTGTACATACATCCGTCCCGGCCTGTGGATGAGGATATTATTTGAAAACTCGAAATATTTTGTATACAATATTATGTTTATTGCTATGTACTTTAAAAGCTTAAACTTGATTATTTATATTCACTAATAATTTTACGAGGAAGATGTTTTTTCAAAACTTTAAAAGAAAAAAAAAACAAAAGAAAAGGAAAGAAGAAGATATTTTTTCAGGATGCATTACATTAAATCAAGCATGTAAAATTAAAAGGGTCTTTTTTTTTTTTTTTCTTGTTTATAAATATACACACACGTATATAAATTATTTCTTATGATTTACAGAGAGAAGAAAAATAATGCTAACTAAGACAATTAACAACCTCATCTATTTATATTACTCCCCATCCCCTTCCCAATTTTTCTGGCTCCGCCGGTGTAGATATGGTCACACTCTCCGCAGTTGCTATATTCAAAACACGTTTACATAATTAGGAGATATTTACAAGTGTCAGCAACATTCCCCACATCACACAATTGACTATTTTCTATAAACCAATTCTTAATTATAATTGCAATCATCCCACCTTCAATCCTGGTTAATAAAAATTTTAGGCAAATTCATCCCAAACTGCCCAGTTGTCATCCCTATTCTTCACTCGGCTCATAGCTCCATCCTATCATTGTGGTGAATGGTAGTATCTCTTCAGAAACAATTAATATTTCAGTTTATAATCATTGATGTAATAGGTACGTCTACCATACGGACTACCGTTTTTCAAGCAAATCAAGGTCTGAAACCATTGGGTTATGACTTATGAGAATCCTAGTGACACCACTTGTAACATAAATATCCAATATCTCCAAGGATCATTGAAATCTAGGTGCCACGTAAGTAATATATGCATGGAAACTTTCAAAAAAAGAAAAAAAAAATTATATATATATATATAGTATCCTTGTAGCAGTGTACGCTAACCTTAATTTTCAGCGCACTGCTTCATGATTTAAGAGCTCTAATTTGCCTCTTCTTCATGTCGATCAATATTTTATACCGTATAAAACTTGAATTTTAGCTATTGATTTCTGCTATCTACTTTGATCACCAAAAATAAAACAAATACTTCTCATTACTTTTACTTTGATCACACGTGAACAAATACAAATAAAATCAATCAAATAAATATAAACCCATCATACCATCAAACTTAATTAATATTACAATTCAAAAAGACACATCCACAAAGCAGAGCTACTTGTATGATCTTTATTCACATTGCCGACGGCTTGATGATGCATGTGTAGTAATTGCAGCCCCGGTAACACCGGGTGGTTGCGAACCACTACCACTGTAAATGCCTTCAGCTTCTTGAATTTGCTCACATTCATCAACTGCTATTGCCACAGCCACAGTTTCTTCAACACACGGTGGCGGCGGAGGTGGCTCCTCGGGGCAAGCAGGTTGCGCTTCGACACAAGCAGCTGCTGCTGGGAACAGTATAGGCCTTTTCTTCTTCTTAGCTAAGCAGAAGAGGCCAACTGCAAGGAATGCCAAGAAGAACAAACCACCTAGAGAGACACACACCACCAGGACGGTTGTGTAGTTGTTGCCTCCTCCTCCTCCTGGAGGTGGCGGTGGTATTAGAACGTTTGATGGTGGTGGTGGGATTGAGTTGTTTGGTGTAGGTATTGTAGGAGTTGGGATGCTGTTAGGTGGTGCAGCAAGTGGTGGTGCTGGCGGTCCCCATTTTTGCGGTGGTGCGGCTACTGGTGGTGTTGTTGGCTGCCAATTTTGCGGTGGTGCAGCAAGTGGTGATGGTGTTTGTGGCTGCCAACTTTGGGGTGGTGCAGCAAGTGGTGGAGCTGTTGGTGGTTGCAAATTTTGTGGTGGTGCAGCAAGTGGCGGTGCTGGTGGTGGCCATTTCTGTGGTGGTGCAGCAAGTGGTGATCTTGGTGGTGGCGCTGCAAGTGGAGATGGTGTTGCTGGTTGCCATTTTTGTGGTGGTGCAGCAAGTGGTGATGTTGTTGGTGGTGTTGCTGCAACAGGAGGTGGTGATGTTGGTGGTGCTGTTGGTGGTTGCCATTTTGGTGGTGGTGCTGGAAGTGGTGGTTGCGATGTTGGTGGTGTTGCTGCAACAGGAGGTGGTGATGTTGGTGGTGTTGCTGCAACAAGAGGTGGTGATGTTGGTGGTCCGCTAGTTGGTGGTTGCCATTTTTGTGGTGGTGATGTTGGTGGTGGTTCGCTAGTTGGTGGTGCTGTTGGTGGTTGCCATTTTGGTGGGGGTGCTGGAAGTGGTGGTGGTGGTGGTGGTGGTCTACTAGTCGGTGGTGTTGTTGGTCTTGGTGGTTGCAACTTTGGTGGCGGTCCACTAGTTGGTGGTGGTGGAATAGGTGATTGTGGTGGAACCGGACCACCACTAGGGTTTGGTGGCGAAGCAACAGGAGGTGGTTGCGATGTTGGTGGTGTTGCAGCAAGTGGTGGTGATGTCGGTGGTGTTGCAGCAAGTGGTGGTGATGTTGGTGGTGGTCCGCTAGTTGGTGGTGGTGTTTGTGTTGGTGGTTGCCATTTTGATGGTGGTGCTGGAAGTGGTGATGTTGGCGGTGGTGCACTAGTCAGTGGTGGTGTTGGTGTTGGTGGTTTCCATTTCGGTGGTGGTCCACTAGTTGGTGGTGGTGTTGGTGGTGGCAAGTTATGTGGTGGCGGAGTGGGTGATTGTGGTGGAACCGGACCACCACTAGGGGTTGGTGGCGAAGCAAGGGGAGGTGGTTGGACACACTGACAAGGTGGTGATGGCGGAGGTGGTGGTTGTGCCATGATACATGCAGGTGGCGGTGGTGGCGGAGTACATGCAGGTGGAGGTGGTGGCGGCGGCGGCTGTGCCGTGATACATGCTGGTGGAGGTGGGGTCTGTGGTGGTGGTGGAGAATAGTATGGATAAGCCATGTCAATTCTCTTTCGGAGAGTCATTTTCTGATGATACTGTTGTACTCAATGTACCAAAATACTTAATGCAATGGATGGATGACATGGATTATATGGATGGGGTATTATATATATATATATACAGACACATCCAAAGGTGGCTTGAATTTTATTCATAATCTCAACTATATTACATTATTCCACTAATCTTATAATTCGTGAGCTAACTCTCTTAGACTCTTACTAAGTTTCTGGCATGAGTTGTATCAACGAAATTAAAAAAAAATTAATGATCCAACGGTTAGGGCAATACAGATCAACATTTTGGACGGTCCTTGTTTATCCCATATTCTTGTTATGCATATATAATGTGGTAGGTGTTTAAGGGCACACCACCTTAGAATATGCACATGTCTAAAAGGCCCAAAAGTAATGAATACCAAACTCATCATTGGTCAGAAAAGTGGTTTCTTTTATGAATATAGGGCCAGGACATTTACTTAAAAATCCATTGAATTGCATCAATAATAGCACAAGTTGGATTAATAAAATTGCGTCAATGATAACACAACTGGGTTGTTCTTTAGCTGGTCCTAATGCGTACCCAAAGAGGAATAATTGTTACTTAGTTGACAAATATTAAGGAGTTCGTTTGTTTATTTATTTATTTTTAAATAAAATATTTAAATAAAATATTAATATTAAGAAGTTTCACAATTCATAGTTTGGCCGTGGAGGCTTTGAGCACAAGTGATTGAAAATGTCCCTTGAACTATGTTGCTTTTTAAAATGGTGCATAATATTCCGTTTCAAATAATAATTTCTTATTGAGAATGTATTTTTTATTATATTAATAGTGAATGAATTATTAAATTTATTTATAGTGAAATTCACGGTGAGTGATGTGATAATTTACTTTTTATACATTAAATAAAAAAAAGAAGAAGTTAAATTGATAATATTATGAAAAATAATATATTGACTTTTTAAATAGGACACTTGCATTCTGACGGATAAAATAAAAAGATATGTATTTATTTTGGGACTAATATTATGATTAACTGCTTCTATGTATCAATGTCAAGGATCACGGCGTACTAGTTTGTGTATTGATATTGTCATGCATCTTGTGATGGAGTAAGTCTTTAATAAGATTGATTTAATAAGATTGATTGAGAGTTTTTATGTTTGTGCATTGATTGGCTACGCTGGTACGGTGGTTCCATTGATAGTCGTATTATAGATACAATTTTTAACTCAATGAATTTGATTTGATCTTTAGCCTTATTTTTGGTTTTATTGTAATCGATATTGATCGAGTGGAAGCTTGAATTTCGCACAACCAATCAAGTGTATGGAGTCGTCCTTTGGCTCGTCAATCCGAAGGCCAATTGGTCATCCTATGGCTTTCCTCTTAAGATTTCACTGTAAAGCCTTTACGATGAGTAGATATTGGGTGGACATGTCAAGTCATTGGTATACCTTCATCAATAAAGGGTGGGCGAAGCTCAAAAAAAAAAAATTAAAAAAACAAAATAATAAATAAAATAGTAATGGTTCCAAAATTAGCCCACTTCATTCAGAAAAGCTGGATCCACCCTTGTCCATCAATAAAAATAATCATAACAGTTTTTAAAAATAGTTAGACCAATTTCGTAAAATGGTATATTTAAAAATAGTTAGACCAATTTCGTAAAATGGTATATTTTCATTGCTCGCGGCATACTAAATATATCCGGTGCACTAAACATCTTCTCCTTGACTATTATAGGAATGTTTGGTTCAATTTTTTGATGAAAGTTTTTACATTGTTGAAAATTCAAAACTTGTAAAAAATAAAAAATAAAATTATTTAATTGATATATAATCTGTTAAAAAAGATATTTTCAGATAATTATTTTTTATAATTTTTTAAAAATATATTAATACTTTTATGAGTTATTAAGAATCATTTTCAATTAGAAAACTAATCAAATAACCTATACTTTTAGTCAAACTAGTGGAAATGCAAAGGATAAATTTTTTTTTATTTGTTATTTTTACAATTTTTAAATGGTATTGTATCAGAAGATAAGGCATTAAGTACACGAGCACAAACGGCATGAGTAAAATGGTTTGAATTGAGTAGTGAATGAACCAAAATCATGCTAAATTGCAACTCTAACTTCATTTTTTTTGGGTAATTTTTTTCAACAAAAAGTACACTTGATTTTACCAAAAGGCTAAGAAAGGTATAACTTCATTGTAATTACTTTTGCTAGTTTATTACTCCCTTCCTTTTATAATAGTTGTCCATCTTTTCCTTTTGGATATCACAAAATACTTATCCACTTATCAAGTTTAAACAACATATTTCACATCTTTTCATAAAATATCCTTAAAATTTTAAAAAGTTTCAAACTTGATGATATATATATATTTAAACTTGAAAGGGTAGTTTTGTAATTTTTGAAAAGAACAATGCAATAATTACATGTTCCTTTAAAAAGTTCTACTTCCCAAAATGAATATTTAATATGAGACGGAGGGAGTATATTCGTTCTATTTGAATCTAATTTGGAATTTCCAAGAAGTTTATTTTATGCAAACCGGGAAGGTTGACCTATTTCGCTAATCATAGTTTCCAATTAAATACTTTCCTGCGTGGCAAACAAGACTGTTACCCATTATGTCAACTACATGCATTATACAAATATATGACAAAAGTCATCGGTGCATCATGCGTGTTCTTGGTTATGTTTAATGTATATGTATTCCAAGACAAAGATATCCACATGTTTAATATATTTAGTATTGACACCCATTTTGATAATTGGGCTTGGACTATAATTGGGTTTAAAGTACAATGACGTGGCAGATGTTTGGGCTGTAAGAAGAGATTGGGATGAAGATGTGTGGTAATTAAATTGGGCTGAAGAATATTATTATTCAACATGGATCATGGGCTTGGACTACAATTGGGGTAGCGATGTTGCAATTTAAAGAATAATTGGATCTGCATGAATTGTGTTTAAAGGCGCAACAATAGAGTTGGTTTGGATGACTTGAAGTAACAAATAGATAAGAAGTATATTCCTAAATGCTAATATATATCGATTAGTTTATTTAGTTACATAATTATGTTTATCTATAGAATTAGGCTTTTATTTGAAAACAGTAATTAGTTATTTGACAGAGTTTTGATGTAATTAGAAAGCTTATGTGTAAGATTTTGTTAACGTTTTATTCTATAAATAATCAAAGAAGCATGATGTGATAGAGTGATAGAGGTCCAACACCCTCAGAACCATTTTATTATTGTGCTTGTTTTCTCAAGCCTTTCTCCTAAATAGTATCCTTGCTATTTTTATCTATCTCTATCTATCTCATTCTCTCTATCTCGTTCTAATTCTCACCCTCTATCTCTTTCTATATCCAGATTTTCTCCCCTTTCTATTCTCAATCTATTACTATAAATTATTCATTCTAAAAGTCTTTTTAATTGAGGCAATTCTGAACTCAAAGAGGAGTTTTATTGTTCCCTTTTTCCTCACATCGTCTAAAAGTCAACTTTCTCAAAGGGACTGCAGTTGACAATTTTCACTTGAACCATATAATTGGTTCTGGCACGCCAGTATTACATCAATTCAGAATCGGATCTAACCAGCCGATTTTAGCGTCAACATTTTTGGCACGCCCGGTGGGACCCCACTAGGTGAATAATTTATAACAAAGATGCCTCCCAAGAAGAATTCAAAGAATACGAATACAAACAAGGAAGAGGAAAATGAAGTCCAGCCAACTGGCCAAGCCGGATCCTATATAGCAGGAACGTCCTTCCCATCGGATGTTCCAATCATGCAAATGCTTAAAGTTATTAGGCAGGGAATGGAAATCCAGGAGACCCGTTTGGGAGCTCGAATAGATGGGATGGGTCTAAAGGTGGACTCAATATCAAATCAAATTGATGAGCGCTGAAAAGTGCGTATTTAAACCCCTTAAGCTTAGGCATTTTAGTACCTTTATCTATCTTACTTTACCGTTTTAGATTGATTTCGTATTATTTCCTTTTTCAGGTACTTATCCCGAAAATAAGCTAACTCAGCTAAATAAGAGCTTAATTGAAGCAATTCTGGAATTAAACAAAAAAAGGAGCAAAGTGGAGAAAGAAGGAAGCAAATGAAGCCAAAGGTGACAAGCAACAAAGTTCAATCGATCCAAGTTCAAGGTTCGATCAATCAAATAATGATCGATCTCAGCACTTCAAGATAGATCCAAGCCTTGACCCAAAAATATAAAGTTCCAAAAGTTCGATCGATCCAACACTATCCTTCAATCGATCGAACACTTTTGTCCCTATTCAAATGATTGATCCTATCCACAGCTGTACCACCCACTAACCACTTTTGTCCTTTTCCCATAAATATCTCCAAAAAATATCTCGGATTTGTCTTTTTCCAAAACGCTCAGCCAGTTGGATCGATCTAGCCTAAGTTCGATCGATCTCACTTACTTTCAATCGATCCAAGTTCAAGGTTCGATCGATCGAACTTCCTCCAATGCGAAAAAGTTAAAATTCCATCTCATTGAAAGTTGTCCTTTATCCAATCATTAGGGAATATTGTGTGCACGACCCCAGCTAATTTTGGGTGTCATTTTGACCTACCTATATAAGGATAAGGATTGCTTTTTACAAGGGGAGCCAACATTTTTTTCATATCATCTCTTGGAGAGCAAGCTTAGAGGAGGAAGAGGCTAGAGACACCATTGGAGTTCTTCATCAACAAGGAGCAGATTTCAACCATGGAATTAGCCCTTGAGGGTTGGAGCATCATCACCATAAGTGGCTAGACATCCTCTTGGGGCTAGAGTTAGCCCTAAGCATGCTTTCTATATCTTAATCTTGTGTATTATTAAGGGATTAGTGTTGTAATTGATGTTTTGACACTTTGATATATATAGATCTTGTTTATTCAATGATTTATGTGGTTTAATGCTTCCAATTGATCATTTCATTCTATCCATGTG